AAAACCATGCGCTTGCAATTTAGGCTCCGCCCCCTGACTCCGCCCACTTTTTCATTTTTTTGATCGGAATTTGAGGCGTATTCTCAGAATTTCAGAATCTGCTGCCACGTGGATTCCAGCTACTTCAAAAACTCACTCAAAATCCATAAATCTCTTAGCAATCTTCTTCTGAACCTCCTCGGTCTTTTCAGCACTATCCAATGGGAAAACGGTGAAAATCAGCATGACGTCTCCACCGAATTCTCTCACCGTCAGCAGTCTCCAGAATCCTTTCCGCTCGAATTCGTCAAACGGCGCCAACTCCGTTTCCTTCACAAATTCATGCGCGTCCCCGACAATTGACATCATCTGGGGACTAACGATATCCACGTTGAGCGGAGGAATCACAAAATGACGATTTTCAGCGAAACGACCGCCGACGAAGCCGATGCAAATGTCTGTGTTCAGATCGTGGCCGATGGTGAATTCGCATTTATTTCGGTAGCCTGTGGTTTTTGGGGATGGGAGGATTTGTTGGAGGCGTTTACGGAATTCAGTCTGTTTTCCGATTTTCTCCACTTTATTCCGTTGAAGTTGCTCGTGGAGCTTGTTCATTACTCTGGAAAAATTTTTCAGGTGAAAATTTGGGGATTTTTATTAATTGAATTTCGGAAAAATCCTCGGAAAATTGGTCAGATTTTTTGGCGATATTCCAGGATTTTTAGCTCAAAATCTGTATAATATTTATGATTTTCAATTTTTTTAGCTCATTTTTCAAGGATTTGCAGCTGCTAGAGTAGGTGTGAATTTGAGTTTTCAGAAGCTTTTTACAGCTAGATATGACAAAAATTGGCTCAGAAGTGACCAATTTGTGAAGGATTTCAGGGCAAAATCTAGTTTTTAACCGATTTTCTTGAGTTTTTAGGTCTATTAGTTCAAAATCGGTTTTTGTCTCAACCCCCTTACCACGTGGCACAAGAAATTTTGACAACTTTTAAGGTTTTTTAGGTGAAAATCTAGGTTTTTATCGCTTTTCTTTCAATTTTTAAGGATTTTCAGGACAAAAATCAATACTAACTTGACACTGTTCTGTTGCTTCAACTCCAACTGCTTCTCATACTCCATCTCCGCCAACGGCGTCACAGATTCTCTGGCTGTCTTCTGTACAGCTGGCTCAGTGTTATTTTTCGTTGGTGCTCGAAGATTTTTGACTTCTGTCGTCGCTAGATGGGCGGCGAGCACGGAATTTTTGTATTCGTAGCCGTTGAGCAGTTGGATGGCCTTCTGAGCGTCTTCTGGAGTGTCGAAGGTGATGTAGGCGTAGTCCGACATGTGACGGACCTTTTTGGATTTGACGTCGCCGAGAATTCTGGAGAAAAAGTTGAAAAAACTTTTATTTTATTTGAATTCAAAAAATTTCAAAAAAAAAATATTTTTTTCGAATTTTTTACTGTAAAAAATTTTGTAGAATAATTTTTACATTCTTACTTCTCCAAAACCTTCTTGAACTGCTTAAAACCAATAAAAGAGGGAATATTTTGAATATGAACTCGATCCAAATCGATTCCTGGTTCTTCTTTGGCTTCTGTTGGATTTTCCGCGATTTCCGCGACTTCTTGGGCAGCATTTTCGATTGTCTCACTCATTTTTACCTGAAAAGTGAAGGAAAATAGTGTATTTCGGGTTTCAAATCGAAAATTTAACTGAAAATAATTGAAAAAAGACGAATAATGCAAGCGCGCCCTGTCGCACTGAGGGGGAAAAATGCGAGGGAGATTTGAAAAATAGAGGTATATTCCGGATTTAATAATATATTTATTTGCAATGCATGGGGGAAATCGATAGATAATTTGGCAAGAAATAGGACCTGTACAAATAAAAAAGTAAAATGACCAGACGGACCGAGTAGAGTCCTGTAGGTCAAGTGGGAGGGATCAGAATATCATAAGGAATCGCTCCTACTCGCTTAGCAAACGCCACCGGACTGAGCTTAGAATTTATCACCTTACATACACGGTTCCACATAGACAAGTTTCTGTGAAGGAAGCAGTCAAAGTATTGACCGTTGATTTTGAACAAATACGGGGCTCTGTTAGAATGGCTGGGAAGAATGTAGGACGACATAGAGGGAAAATGGTATGAGTTTATAACAATTTTGTGATAGGTACGAAGAACTAGAAGGGTGTGGCGATGAAGGGTGGTTAGCATAGAGAACTGGGATAGGCGATCGGTGTATGAATTGAAGGGCATATTACATCTCTGAAAGACTTTTCTGGTGAAAAAACGAAGAGGAGATTCTACGATAGAATCTTATTTACCTCAAATATGACCACCTCAAAAAATAGGTTGTTGAACGAGTGCTAAATGACAGTCGAAGAGGCGCTGACTGGTCAATGACCGGTGGTTGGCGGGCCAAATTCCTGCAGAATGGAAAATTTGGTTGAAAAAAGATTTTTCTCTTAAAACATGATAAAAGGCATAGAGGGATCTGGGAATCTATAAAATGTGTTATTAGAAGCACTTCTACGAAAATTAGAATCTGAGGCGCGATTGGTGAAAAACTGCTAAATGACAGTCGAATAGGCACTGACTGGTTGATGGTGGCTGAATAAAAAAATATGTTTGAACATTCCTTGGTATATATCTAGAAGCATTTGTTAGCATTTTCGTGTTCCAAAATTTTTACTCGAGTTGTCATTGCATGATAATAATCAATCGTTCAGGACACATGTTCTCGGTCATATTTTTCAATTTGCTTAAGATTTCCGACGAAATTTGTTTTTAATTTTGTACAATTTGTGTCTTAAAGTGCTATTTTTCCGTTTTTCTTCAAAAATCCCAACAGTTCGTTTTTAAATGCCGTTTTATAATTGCCGAGTTTCAAAATTTCGGTCATAGAGATTTGCAACGAC